AAAATAGTTTAAAAAGAATTAAAACCTGTTATACAAAAGAAACGATCAATTAAACGTGTGGTGTGTATGAAATTATGCAATAAATTCTGTAAAATTTTGATCATGTCTGCACTAAAGCTTAGGATTTGATGAACGAAACCTTCGTGTTTTGGTTGGTGTAGAGGTGAAACAGATATCTAAGGTCAGAGGAAAATTAAAGGTAAGAGGAATCGGACAACTTGTTTAGCTGTTTACCGCCCGCAATCAGGCTCGCCACCTTCTCTCATCTTCTCATTCAATTTGTTTTTCTTCTCCTCAACGGCAATGATACTTAATGGAAACCCTATGGAAATACTACTGGATACGCGTTACGATCTAATGACGTTAAGTTATAAAAGAACATTCTGTTACCTTGATGCAAAAAATATTCCTTGCAATCAAAAAATCTATAAAGTTAATTTAAACATATTATAATTATCAATAAATAATAGTAACTTAGGCATTAGTCTTAATCAATTATTGATCAAAAATTAAAAATATTTTATATAAACTATTTATTTGGTAAGAAAAAATACCTAAATATATTGACAAAATTCTTGTAACAATAATAACAATCCAATATGTTTAGTCAATCGAGTTATCGATATTTTTCTGCCATTCGGTAAATTTTGAAGATTTCTTTCATATATCACAAATACGTAGAGTTACTCATACAAATCATAACCAATAAGTAGTGATAAATTACTATCCAATTAGGTAAAAAGAAAACTAAAGCAATTAACAAGAGTAAAAGTAAACATTTTGTTCAATGTCAATAGAACAGTATGAAAAGTCGTACACAGGGAAGTAACCTCTTTTTCGAGTCTAGAGCACCCACGAAAACGTGTTTCCGGTAATAAACCTGGTTTACTATGTTGTAAACCAACACAATCGCTGCGCTCAACGAAGCTCGCCTCTGTAGACAGTGAAATCTACTGTATTAACGAAATATACGAGTATAATATTATATTTTGTAACTAGAAATGCATGTTTGTAAAATATTTTGTTTAATTTTAAATATAACACAATACGACGAATAGGGATAAGGATGGATTTACGAGTAATTGATCAAAATTTGGGACCGATTGTGGTAAGTCGGGGTATTGGTAGTGTCACGGACTTTGGACCCAAGGCAGCGATGTCTTCGGTTCGGATCCTGGTCACTGACGCAAACATTTTATCAGTACTGCCTTCGTACTGTACCGGCTCACCCCTTGCTTTACTGGATACAATTCACGGGCAGTCTGTGTGGGCAGGAAAAATTTAAGGTTAAAAGAGACTGCCAACCTCTTTATGAAAAATAAATGAAATAATAAATATAGCGATAACCCAAATTTAATCGGAATAAGGAAGATTAATTCACAACAGGCAATTTAAGGGTTTAAAATAAATTAATGGTTTAGAAATTCCCACGAAATATTTTAAAATATAATATTATACAACAATATAAATAGATTGTCTATGGAGCAACTGTTATCGTGTTTAGGGCATAGGGTGGTTCTGAACTCTGGTTGAAATCCCATTTATCAAGGTTGTTTTTGGGGAACTAGTAATACAAGCTGTAGCATTTTATATTTTGTATTTTTTGTCACAATTTATAAATAAATTTAAGTTAGTATTTTATTTTTTTTAGCTCTGCTTAATCATGAAATATTCGAAACATATTAATTCAATTTTGTCAGTTAAACCAGAAATTTAAATAGTTTGTAAGATCCTGTAAGGAAAAGAGACGACAATTTGATTGGCCAGGGTAAGTCAGTCATTGTTTGAAGCACATGGTTTTCAGCCAATCACAGGGTTACCTTGGTCAGACAAAACTTAATCACCCTTCTTGTCCGGTCTCAGTTGTGCTAATTCAGCTGTAAAGTAAAGTTATAATTTGGGAGTTCACTTGGTCAGTTACCCCACGTTTTGGGTAAGAATTTTTAAAATTTTAAATTTAGTTAGTTTTATTTTAGGTATGATGACAGATGTCCTCTCTTTTTCAGCTTTTGATTAAATACAATTCACAAAGATTCTTATACATTTTATATTTTTTTAGGGCTCATGGTTAAGAAGGAATTATAAACTTTTAAGTACAGTATATTGTATGAATAAGGAATTTTTAAAGATTGAAACTTAATATAACTTTAATGAGCAGAGCTTATTTTTAAGAATTTGAGTTAAATGATATAATGGAAAAATGAAGTATTTAAATAAAAGTTTTGTTAAATCATTTTCAAGATAATATTTTCTTTACCTGCTTTGGCAATTAAACAAATTTTTTCCATTTTTTAAGACATTAAAATAAATAAATAAAAAACTAGATCATGTGGGCCTAGTACGCTACAAAGCCATACAAAAAATATATTCTAACAAAATGACCTTAAGTATTTTAAACTAAGAACAAAAGGTGTGTTGCTAGTCGAGTGGTTAGTGTCTTGGAATTCGTAGCGGGAGGGGTGAGTTCAATTCCCCGCGTATCTAAAAAACTTAAATCTCCCGTTAGCCTTTGCAGAAATGCCACTGAAAAAAATTGTACATACTATTAGAATCCTTAGATAAGGCGGCTCATTGCCAAGTAGTTAGAGAACGGGCATTCAGTTTAAATCGATTTAAGTCATAAAAGTCAACACTGGCTCGCTTATGCGGAGAATAAGTCTTACGTAAATGAGTATAGATGGTTATATTTGAATATAATGATGAAATGATGAGACTATGAGTGTGATATGAGGTATGAGCTATATCCTGATTAAGAAGACAAGTCCAATTGTAGCTCATATCTATGTGACTAGGAACTGTATGTAGCTCAGATATGCATCAATCATTACATCATTGGCATATTTGCAATTCAAGAGAATTTCCAATAATGCTCACGGCTGATTGATCTAATTTTCTGACAGGGATGTTTCTCAATATCGATGGACATTTGTTTATTTACCGTATTAACTTGTTTAAAAATACCGTCATTGTATTAGTTTGAACAAGAGTTTCAGTTTCTAATTTTTTGTTTGTTTTAAGACGTGTTTTCAGTCGTGACACATAGTGTTTATAAGCACTGTAATAATAAAAAAAAATAAGACTGGAAAATTGAATTAGTTTATACGCTAGAATATTAAAAGTATTAAAATGTATTGTCTAAATTCCTTAACTGACATGTTCAAACAAATTTGCATAATGTTATTTTGTAGTCACTTAAACTTTGCGCAGAAATGAGTTCAACTATGGCAAAATCCGATATTCCTACATAATATTTGTTGAGCAACAGATGTTATTTAGGCACCGATCATGTGCAAAACTTTACTTATGCCGTAATTTGTATGCATTCTGGTGTAGAAACACAGGCTGGGTAGCTGAGTGGTAAAGTGCTCACCACCCTCTTAATTTATAAATTTAAATCAAAGTCTTTGTCGTTGGGTAAATACGAATACTATTTATGGAGTTCTCACTACACTCAATGCCGGCAAGCCCCTCAAATATCAGGATTTACATTTCTATTATACTCCAGGGGCGCACTTAACTTCTAAAACAACTTCCTGCTTAACCAATATGAACTCTCAAAGTTCTTTAAAGTCAAACAATAGAGGTAATTTCATTGTTAACGCTATCTCCCAACTCTTAAGTTATCATTTAATTATTATAACTTAACCAACCTTTTGAACTCATAACTATCATCAGTAACTTTGATTTAAATTCAGTTTTATTTAACCATAGACTTGCATATATATTTGTATCTATAACTTCGAGCCAGGGGCTGATAAAATGTTTACCACGAAATGTTTTTTGGTTTACTTTTGAGTTTTGTGGCTTATCATAATTGATCGTTAAGAGTAAATAGAACAAAAACACAGAGTGAGAAATTGTCTTGTAAGCATACGTTAGTCTTGTTACTACGGACTAAACATTTTGAAAGACGGACTTTTTAAACTATGATTAACAAAGACTCATCGTAAATAAAGTAAAAAATGCAATATAAAAGTCTAAAGTAGGTTCAAAAACAAAAGTATGATTGTGGCCATGACCTAAGATTTAAATGTAAAGTAGCGAATAAAATATGAAAAAACTATTCTATTTCAATTTATTTCCATAAACAGGTTTGAAATAATATTAAAAAAGTAATGTATATGGCGCCCTTAAGTTAAATACACATATAATAAATTTTGCAGTAGGTGCACAGTTTTACAAAGAAATGTAAGTTTTTATTTTCGTCCTTCCTACTTTGCTAATATAGTACCAAAAGGAAAGGAATATTTTGTACTACCCATTGCTATCACTATGAGTAAAGCATTTTTTGCCGCACATTTTGAGTAAACCTCAATGCAGGGTGGCCAAGCCATTCAAAGATTAATCTTGTGGGTGGACAGCTAATGTGTTACTCGCACGGCAAACGGTCCTTGCTACCCAGAAACAGACTTAAATTAACCAACCCTTGCTATCCAACGACCCCCTTACATTAACCTAAACGAAAACACCACCTAACAATGAGCCGACATGGTCGGTTATTTTTTAGTGTTACTGAAGTTCCCAAAAAGTATGCTTTATGTTTTACTTTATGTGTGTTTGTTTGAGATATGGTTTTTAGAAAATGTAATTATAACAAAAGTTTTTATTGGTGTAGATAAGGTTGTTAACGCAATTGAAACCACTGCACAGTTTCGTTTTAAAATTATCATTGTGTGTAAAACTCAAGAAAGCCAGTATATTTTTCTCAAATGACTTTTGTTTACATGTTGACCTGTTAGACTGTATTTACTTTAATTAGATCACTTATCAGCCTGATATTAAAACTCGGGAACCCATGGGAGTGGGAATAAGAGGTTCTACTTTAGAAACCCGATTTTCGACCCTTATATTTTTTATTTAATCAGATTGAAACAATACCATGTACGATAAAACATTTTGCCTTTTTTGTTGTTACATCCTAATTTAGTAATTTATTTTTTTATGTTAACCGTAATTATTGGTAATTAGTTTAATCATTAAATATTTATTATTTTTCGCAGGAATGAACGTGTGACCATTTACAGTGACAAATATATGGTAAGTCCTTTATATGTATTATCATACATACATTTGGGATGAAAAAAAAGTAAATAAATTTTTACCCTAAATTATTTGTAATAACCAAATTAAAATTTTAAAATATTTATACCCTCATAAATTAGTATCTGTTGTTCTACTGATTACAAAAAAGACAAGTAAAAGTATGTTTACTTATATATAACTAAAAAAAGGTATAACAGATTTTTCTTAAGATGGTAGATTGTTCAATGTCTTAAAAAATGCAATTGAAGGCGAGTCGATGGCTCAGTCGGTAGCGTCAAGAATTTCAAGCCCAAGGCAGCGATGTCGTGGGTTACTACTTTTTACCAGTACAGTTCATCCTTGTACTGTACCGGCCTACCCCTTGCTATGCTGGATACGTTTTACGCAACGGTGCAATAGCCTATGTGGACAGGCAAATAAGGCCAAACTCTTAAAAATAAAAATAACAGTCCCACTTACTATGTTGTAAATATCAACTAATTAAGTTTTTCATGATTTGTCAATAATTGTAGGCTACCAGAAACTATTTTATTGCCGTCAAACACGTATATGCACGCGTTTCTATTTGTCACTGCCAATTGTTGTATGTACAAAACCAATTTAATGCACTGAGGATAGATATTTCAATCTTCACTCAAATTTTGATAGCGTTTACGCTTAGGTCTACAGTGAACTTACTTCTTGAAGCTAAAATACGTTAAGTTGTAAATATGACGCGACACCTAAGTTGACGTCAGACACGAAAGGTGAGTGACGCTTAAACATGAGAACAGATGTTCTTGAAAATCCATTAGCAAAATATATTTTAAGCGTAAGGATGCGGAACATAAATGGAGTCTCAATGTTTTACAGAACGCAAAATTATGGCTTTATTTGGTCACGATGGATGAGAAATGCCGTTGATTTGGTTATGAAGATTTCTAAAGCATGTAACATAAAGTGCTCTAAAGTTCTTATAGCCTACCTAATTATTTTATAAAAAAAATCCTGCATCAATATTATTATCACTAACTGGTTAATTTTTGTTATTAGATAAAAATAAACGTAGAATGCAATTTATTATGATTAAAAATGGTATTAACATTTGTTACTAATGATGAAAAATGCCAAAATGAATACTTGTGTAAATTGTTATTCTGTTATAATTATCCTTTGGTATCCAATTGCATTACTCTTTTCATAAATTTAATTTCGAAGTAAATAATTATAAAAACATTTGGAAATTGTAGATATCTTTACATCATTTTACATATCATGATTTTTTTGGACAATTCATTTGAAAAACATAATTTTTACCACATTTTTAAGTCAGTTAATTTATTGGGTGGTTCAAAATTTTGTTTAAAGTTTTTGATTAGATCAATCTAAAACATATGGGGTGGAAAATAATTACGTACAACTAAAATATCGTACCTTAAAATGAATTTTAGAATGACAGTCGCAACGGTAAATGTATTAAAAAATATATAGAAACATCACACCATTGACTATCACTCGAGTAAATTGCTATAATCCTATTTAATTCGTGTCCCGTGTAGTAATAAATGGACCGGCTAATATGATCTAAGTCTGTAATATATCACCATAAGCTGATTTAAGGATTTGATCATCAAGCTAATAGTTTATTATTTGGACGACCATGTATAAACATTTATAGTTGAATTATTCTGCATATTATGGTTCAAAGAAAATTGTATAGAAAATATAATTAATTTGAACAATTATGGTGATTAAAAAGTTATAAATTTATTTGTTAGTAAAAAAGTATATGCTTATGTTACTGTGTAGTATGTTGGTAAAAGGACCAGAAACTGGATAATTCACTGACAAAAAAAAATTATAATAATCACGATAAGGACGCTGAAAAATGACTACAAAACAATGGAGATTATCGTTGAGCTATTTTATAACATACAAAATATTGTAGTACATTATACTTAGTATTTATTTAGTAATTTTTTCAATAGAATGAGTTTATATTGATGTTTGACTTGAACAATCAGAAAGGACCACGAGGTAAATCTTTTACAACTCAACTTTAAAGAATCCTTAAGGCAAAGAAAATAAATATTTTTACTTCAATATTTGATACAAATGAAAATGCGGTGTGACATTAATACAACGTTTACACTTATCCAGCCCTCAGTAAAAACCTAAAAAAATATGTGAAAATATATTTGATTAAATTTGTTAATTTATGCCACTTATGTTACTTATTAGAGCGTGAAACTAATGTATACATTCTGGTTATGTATGCTTGTAAAGAAGTCTTTTTTTCGTTTAAGCAAATATAACCAGATAACGTAATTGGCTGTTCCATAAGGTAAATAAAGTGTGTAAATAAAGAATGCTCTTCTTTGCAGACGTAACATTTTGCAAGAATCGGTTTCTTAAAAATATGTTTGTGTAAAAAAGTTAGACGAAATTATCTTAAGAAAACTCTACAAAATCATATACTTCGATTCAAAGTGTGGATATTGAAATGTTTAAAAGTTAATCAAAAGATAATTGTTTGTATTGAAATAATACTATGTCTACGTAATGATTTTTTAACAGCTTAGGTGCTAAATCATTGGTAAAACACGTAATATCACATCATAAGCTTATAAGGAATGGAACATTGTTCTGTTTGTCTACCACTCCGATGTGGCAGCAAAAAGCTCTTCAACTGAACTTATATGTACAACTTCAAGGTTTTAAATTATAGTTACGTGTGTCTTGCAAAAGTTAAGGCATATTTTTATATTTCCTTTCATTTTTGGGGTTAGAACTTTTCATGTTTTGTAGTAAAATTCGTTAAGGGTCTTCTAGTAATGTTTAGTTTGTATATAATATGTTTACAAAAGTGTTTTTGAATTAAGTGGCAACATTAGGGATCTACTTTAAATTAAATAAATATAGCAAGTCCTTAGTTAAATATTTACAAAAGCATACAAATGAATAATCAAATATCAAATTAAATTTACAAAATTCTAAAATGTCAGTTGTCATTCTAAGTAGACTATACTTTTTAAACGCTTGGACTTCTTAGTAATATACGGTTTGTTTTTAAAGGGTTGAAACTAAAACTGATCACAAACACGCATGACAGTTTTACCTGCTATTTATTTTAATTCTTTGTATTAAAAACAATCATTATTAAGCAAAATACTTACACAATGTTCTTTTAAAATGGAGTTCTGCTTTGAATACACCTTTATGAGTTAGATTATTTATAACTTAGGTATTATGTTAAACTATAAATAATTATGTTAAAAGATTATAATAGATTATGTCAAACTAAAAAAAAAATTGATTGTGTTAGATTTTGCTGAGGTTAGTGAGAGAAAATTCTGTCTGATGGTAAAAACCTTTACGGACAAATTTGGGTGCTGAAGAGTAAGGTGGTTTGTAAGATAACAATCACCTTCCTCGGGAAGGGAATATTTCGTAATGGTTACACTGAAAGCAGATACGGGCTTGTGCTTCCTTTGGTTTTACCTTTTGTTAAGCATATCCCCACTTTGTGTACATATAGACTTAAATTTTTTTTTCAAAAAGTTATGATTGTTATCTGAAAGATTTAAAATATTAAACTTAAGTGAACTAAAGTAAAATTAAATTAACTCCTACATACAGAATTTGCAAGAGTCCTTAAAATACTAACATATGCACAAAGAAGTTTATAATTTGACGAATTCCATAGTTTTAACTAAAGTTTAATCACAAAATTCCACTATATGGCTGATATAAAAGATATTTTGTATGAATTTAGTTTTTAGGTCGATAATTACTTGAAAATAGCCTCATTGCACTTGTTTAAAAATAATTTAACCGTGAAATCTAAGACCGTCACAAAAATTCAATACAATCTGCACTTAGTTTTAAGTATAGCGAAGCAAAATATCCCAAATATTAAACTGTATAATCTCCAAAAAATAAAATGCAATAAGATAACTTAAATTTATTCAAAAGTATAACATATTAAACACCAAGGTTTACATAAGTTGATGCATTGCCTGGTAATTGGAGTATTATTTGTAGAACCTCTAGCAGACAGGTTAGTTAACTCCCGTAGAATGTGTGGCACAAGTTAGGTAATTGAGTTTGTTGTTGGGTGGGATCGGAATTCTCTTATTCGTCGCCACGCAAACACTTCCCCAGCTGTGAAGAATCGTGGTTTATTACTTTGCAAAAATTAACTCTATCTAAAAGATTATTGAACGAGAAACCCATACATTTCTTATATCCAGGCTTACATATGTCAAAAAAGTAAATAATAATAATCAATTTAACCTTCAAGCGTAGTTAATTAGCGTGTTAATTTTTGCCCCCTCAAAAGTCAGTGCAATTTTAGACACGGATGAAAGTAATGGAGAAAAAAACTATTTATACATACATAACTACCCTATATATTATTCTTAACGGTTCAGGTGTAAGCCACAACAATGAACATTTCAACCTTCAATATAGAGATGAATTAAAATATGACTATTACCATTAAAAAAGACCAAGTATATGAACACAAATATATGTATGTTTATTATAAATAATTTGCAAATATTGTAGAGATTTTTATTCAAGGGAGTTGTAAAAACAGTGATTGTTTTCCTTACTTAAAATACTAATCCTTATTCATGTTGTACAATATACCAGGAGATTGATAATATAGTAAAGATTATTTATTAAATGTGCTAAAAAACAACTAGCCACAATCATTAAAGACTTGGCTGGAATTTAGCCCGAACCTTAAAACAGTTTCCCGTGTTTAAAAAAAGGGGTGACTGTATATTAAAGATTTTATTTAAATGTGATATAAAATAAAAAATATCGACTTGTCAGTATCAATTATTATAAATATGGATTCATTGTGGTTTTCTCTTTTGATCTTTCGCTGGCTTTGGGTTCAATTGTGTAAAACTACCGTCCTCATATATTTTAGGCACATTCACTATTTTTATCTTATTTTTTATAGGAATTAATTATTCTTGAAGAGTTTATTTTGTTACGAGGTT